GCCTTACGTGTGCCATATACAAAGTGAAACGCTGAATGTAAGCGTGGAATGTACGATGCTTGGCGTTCCCAAAACTTCCGGACACCAAGGCTTGAACTAGCTTACTATTGGATCAAATTATGGACAAAAATCACCATACCAAATATCTTTGACTTTAATTGGATAATGCCGTAGCCTACATCACGCAAAGTTTGACAATGTACTTCTGTGTATGAACTCCAACCAAAAGTTTGATGCATGTGGTTTCCAACGGAGGACCAAACAATGGACTCTAGTCTCTAAATCTAGCATTTGACAAGGAGTTGGTCGCACGACGAGCTCCGCCATCGAGTGGTGTGCCTTGTAATACATGCACCGTGCTATGTTGGTAAAATGAAGCATTATTGCTCCTACAATGACTAAACTGCTAAGTTTGGGTTCATTCTCGGGACAACAGTTGGCATTGGAATTGCATTCCCGTCCTCCACTCGGTTTCTACGATTTGGCAAGGTGTTGGTTTGTAACAAATTTCCTTTTTACATCGGTCGCATGACGAGCTGCGCAATCGAGTGGTGTGCACGTAATACATGTACCGTGTGATCTTGGTAAAATCAAAACATATGTTGCTCCTACAACGTCTGAACTGCTAAGTTGGGGTTCATTCTCGTGACAGCAGCTGGCATTGGAATTGCATTCCCATCCTCCACTCGGTTTCTACGACATCTCCTGATGAACAAGCTTCTCAACTCCAAACGAAAATGTTCGTACTTCCAGCAGTAAATGATCGGGTTGACGAACGTGTTGCAAGATACCAGGCTAGTAGCTACTGCATATGACAAGTCCCCCTTTATTCCCGTGATTAATGAACGAACGTGATTAACTACCGTTGGTGTCCAGCACACAGCAAACATCAGACCTATCAGCATTGTCGTAACAAGAACGTTTTTCTTTGCTTTATTCATGTCAATTCGAGGACGGTACATGGGATTAGCAGATTTCTTGGCTAGCTTGATTGTTATACGGCTGTATGCATAGATCAAAATGGTAATGGGCACTAAATACTCAATAACCATTGCCACTGAAGTCGCAAATATCTTCAGGCCAATTTCCATTTGTGTCATTTGACAACCCTCTCGACCTGCTTTCAACAAAAATGTAAAATGTGAACCATATATGAAGCCAATGGCCCAGGTAGTTCCCATGGCAAACCTCAGCTTAGCTGAGGATCCACAATTGCGATGCTTCACCGGATGGCAGGTCGCCATAAAGCGCTCCAGCGATATCATGACGAGGTTGTACGTGGACGTTACACTTAAGCACCAGAAGGGAACGTCCGTGTATATGAGCCGACACATCAACTGATCGTATATAGTCCCCTTTAAAGACATTGGTGTCAGGATGTTCAGCAAAACTACCTGCCAAACGAGAAACACAACGCCAGCAACACACATAGACTGATGCAGGATGAGGCGATTTGTGAAGGAGCTGAACACTCGTCGTCTGAGCAGCATAACGGTAATGACCATGCCGTTACCAAGCACAGCCAGGCAGGCGATGATTGTTTTGACTGCATCCATCAGATGGCTGGCATTTTCGATCCAAATATCATTGGTCCCATTTTGGACTGACATATTCCTTATTAGATAGAAATGCAAAGAATAGACAAGCACACTGTTCTAAGCCCGGCTTGAAAATTGCTCTTGGATGAATCGGCAGAACATCATTTGCAACCGGTTCATGTTGAATGCATTCGAATGCGTTGAGAGTAACATGTACACTTCTCACTGTAGAGTCTCATATCTATACCTTGTACGAATGCATATAGTTGATGTTTAGCATATTCCATTAAGGATAAAGTCTACCTTGGTAAGATAGAAAGTAATTTGATTTTGTCACAATAGAGCAACGAAGAAATGGGTCGCGGCCGCCTAAGTAATTATACCATTTTGTTGGCAGCGGGGGGGGGGGGGGGGGGGGGGGTAGGTGTTTCAACGCCTGGTTGACACTTAAAGGAAATGTACAACATTTGCTTTTGCTGCAATTTTAAGCAATAAATGGATTTGGAAGATTAGTATGTTATAGAAAATATTGTTAAACTGACTTGTTTCAAAATATTGTTAAACTGACTTGTTTCACGTTTTGGGCTTGTAGATGCTGGAAAAATCAAGAAAACCTATCATGTTCTTGTAGCCTGGCTCCCTGACCTCACTTAAGATGAAACGGAGCAATTAATACACTTTGGGGAATTGCAAGGTCAGAGAATCAGTCTAGAAGGCTTGTACCCCTTCACAGGTGTGTAATCAATTGCAAAGAAATGTCAGAATAACTAAATATGAAAAATCAGGAAATGTTTTTGAAAAAAATCCAGTTTTCTGCAACGCTGGTCGGCCGACCAGCGCTGGAAAAACACAATTTGTCTTGAACAATTCAGCACACTAGGAGCCACGATTTGAAAGGATGCTTTAGACCATCAGTCCCTAACAATTCAGTAAGGTATTTCGTGATAATTTGATCATTTCGTTTTTTGATATGTTTGCAAATGATGTATCTTCCCTTTAAGTTAATAAACAGAAATTGACAGCCCCGACATTAATTACTGTTGTACGATAATTTCTTTTACTTTCCAGCTTAACCTTAAAGGGGCCGGGGGCGGAATCCGCCCCCCCTCAACATTTTCCGTGATAGCTTCTAAAAAAACATTTTTTCGCGACCCGAGCTGTTATGACTTTTTAGCCTCAAGCTTTGCGCATCTTTTGATACCAAAAACATAAAAATCGGACCACGGGTTGCCGCGTAGCAAAAAATTTTCCGGCGCTACGCGCCGTGAAAACTGAATTTTCGCATATACGTCGTGTACACGGAGCAGAATTGCCATTCGTACATATGAATAATTAATTAGCCATAATTCCAAAACCCTTTGACCTATAGTCATGAAATTTCTTGGGTATGTTTAGGAAGAGTTGCTTTATGCATGTGTCGAGTTTCAAAATTTTCGTCACTCGATGGCCGAGATCTTAGGGGGGGGGGCGGAATCCGCCCCCCCCCCCGGCTGAGAGATGGTTTAAATAACCCGGCCCCTTTAGGGTTAAACATATGATCATTTCACGTGCGTGAGGTATGTAGATGCATGGTTTACGGTGCTATTTGCCCCGAGATTGCACCATGTTATGCCGTAACATTTTTTTCTTGACTGTTTTATTGAGTATTAAATTAAAAGGAGCGGACACGGAATAATAAAGTCGACTCCGATTGGCTGTTGTAATACAACACCCGCGCGCGGCTGTTGTATTACAAAACGCTGCATTCGATTTGACCAGCACACTTTTAGTCCGTCCTGATTTGGAAATGAAATGACGTCACGGTTTAAGTAAAGTTGACTCCAATTGGCTGGCGCGCGGCTTGCATATATCAGCATGTTTAGACAATAATCAGACGTTATAGCAGGAGACTTGGTTCCGTGGATAACGTCTGATACTCAGAATAGAGGATAAGGGCCTTTTCATTTTTTTCCCAGGATGGCCGCCAAGTATTCAAATTCAAAATGGTCTTAAACGTCGGTTCAAAATTACCTCATTTAATAGTAAGTAGAGTGCGGGCGGGGACGATTCTTTTAAAAGAATTGTTGGTAAAGTGGTTAATTGGTACGCCGTTTCGGTTTTTTTTTAGGACCACCCTGTATGGGCTCCGTGCGCCGGAGAAAGAGGGCGCCCTTTTACCTAGCAACGACGTCCCATGGGCGGGACATTTTGCTCGTTGACGCGCACCGTTCCTTGTGTGTGACGCACTTCGCAGAAAATAGATTGCAGTCAGGCAAGATGGCGTCGGTCAGTCACCCCCAACTGTACTCTCTTTGCCGGTGAGGGGGTACTTGTGAACGGAGCGGATAGGCTGATCCGTCGGTGCTTGGGGCTGCAAAGGTCTCGGGATTCATCTAGGTACAGAATCCTGGTTTCATGGTTAGACTGAGGCTACATTGCACACGACATCCGGAAAGAAAATGGATCAAACTGAGACAAATGAGACATCTCTTCCCGACCATCACTTCTTAGTAAACGTAGTCGTACCTGACATGTGTGTATTTGCCTGCAAACGGGGACCCCCTATTGCCTCTCTTTTGTTTGTACTATAACTTTTCAGGAAGACCTTCCGTACGTTTTGTATACGATCGCCAAATTGGGGACCTTCGGAAGATTGGGGTCACTATTGTCCTCTATTGACCTATCGCCATTTACAAGTTAGCCACTCGCACAGCATTGGCTTAGCATCTGCCCCCCCCCCGACCTCTACCATTCTCTCACGAGTGTCCTAGTTAGAAACAATGATTGTTCCACCATGAGGAGTACCAATTTATTGTCAGATAGCGCGCCCCCCCATAGGAAGTTAGTGTCTAGCCACTACCACCCCGTCTACTTTTCATGACGAATGATCTAACGACTAGATATTCAATTTGCCCTTTTTGCGTCTGCCCCCAATTCCAAATGATTTTGCTACATGCCCGCATGGTTGACACATCTACGTAGGTATAATATACAGGGAATAGCGCCCTCTAGAGTACGGTTACCCCTATCTCTCTCAATTTCGCCTTAAAGCCTAGTCCTTACGTGTGCCATACACCAAGTGAAACGCTAAATGTAAAAGTGGAATGTACGAGGCTTGGCATTCCAAAAACTTCCGGACACCAAGGCTTGAACTAGCTTACTATTGAATCAAATATGGAGAAAAATCACTATCATGATACCAAATGTCGTTGTCTTTAATTTGATAATTAATGCTGTAGCCTACATCACGCAAAGTTTGACAATGCACTTCTGTGTATGAACTCTGACCCAAAAGTTTGATGCGTATGGTTTCCGACGGAGGACCAAACAATGGACTCTAGTCTCTAAAAATAGCATTGACAAGGAGTTGGTTTTTAATAAATTTTCTTTTTACGTCGGTCGCATGACGAGCTGCGCAATCGAGTGGTGTGCAAGTAATACATGTACCGTGCGATCTTGGTAAAATCAAAACATGTGTTGCTCCTACAACGTCTGAACTGCTAAGTTGGGGTTCATTCTCGGGGCAGCAGCTGGCATTGGAATTGCATTCCCGTCCTCCACTTGGTTTCTACGACATCTCCTGATGAACAAGCTTCTCAACTCCAAACGAAAATGTTCGTACTTCAAGCAGTAAATGATCGGGTTGACGAAGGTGTTGCAAGACACCAGGCTAGTAGCTATTGCATACAACAAGTCCCCCTTTATTCCCGTGATGAATGAACGAACGTGATTAACTACCGTTGGGGTCCAGCACACAACAAACATCAGACCTATAAGCATTGTCGTAACAAGAACATTCTTCTTTGCTTCATTCATGTTGATTCGAGGACGGTACATGGGATTAGCAGATTTCTTGGCTAGCTTGATGGTTATTCGGCTGTATGTATAGATCAAAATGGTGATGGGCACTAAATACTCAATAACCATTGCCACTGAAGTCGCAAATATCTTCAGGCCAATTTCCATTTGTGTCATTTGACAACCCTCTCGACCTGCTTCCAACAAAAATGTTAAATGTGGACCATATATGAAGCCAATGGCCCAGGTAGTTCCCATGGCAATCCTCAGCCTTGCTGAGGACCCACAATTGCGATGCTTCACCGGATAGCAGGTTGCCATAAAGCGCTCCAACGATATCATGACGAGGTTGTACGTGGACGTTACACTTAAGCACCAGAAGGGAACGTCCGTGTATATGAACCGACACATCAACTGATCGTATATAGTGCCCTTTAAAGACATTGGTGTCAGGATGTTCAGCAAAACTACCTTCCAAACGAAAAACACAACGCCAGCAACACTGTCGATGATAGACTGATGCAGGATGAGGCGATTTGTGAAGGAGCTGAACACTCGTTGTCTGAGCAGCATGACGGTGATGACCATGCCGTTACCAAGCACAGCCAGGCAGGCGATGATTGTGTTGACTGCATCCAGCAGACGGCCATGGGCACTTTCGATCTCAATATCGTCGGTCCCATTTTCGACAAACATATCTACTTCCTTCTTAGAGAGAAATGCAAAAGCAAACACGGTTCTAAGCCCTGGTCGCCAGCGTACTCAGTCTAATATTACTCGTGAATGTATCAGCAGAACATCATTTCCACCCGGTCCATGTTGAATCCAATGTGTTGAGAGGAGCACGTCAAACTGCACAGTCTCAGATCATTGCCTATAGTACGAACGCATTATAGTTGATGTTTAGCTTTAATTTCTATTAAGACGGTACAGGTTACCATGATAAATAGGAAGCAATTCGATTTGGTCACTTGAGCAACGAAGGATCGCAGCAGCTAAAGTAATTAAGTCTTTTTGTTCGGCGCAGGGATGACAACTCCCGGTCGATGCTTGAGCTTTATAAATTGACAGCCCCGACATTTGAAAGGTACTGGGATGTACAACACTGAACCTCGGAAAAAGCTCATCTGATAAGCAGTCGCTTACCAAGGAACTGTCTATATTTCTGGATGTAGGTGTCCAAATGAGGAAAAAAGCAGCATTGTGTTGAGATCAAGCAGTTAACTGTGTTGAGATCAGCACTGCCAACACTCTCTCTGTTGGCCAACTTACTCATTGCTCTTTGCTAATCAATATTTGGTTGGAACCTAAGTTTCACTGGAGCATGAGTCTAGGTTGTTCTATCAAAATACTGATTGGAAAGAAATCTAGGTAAATTGGTCAACAGAGAGCTTGTCGGCATGTTAATCTCCTGCCTTCCATTATGCTGCAAATTGGACCACATTGACACATCATCCTTTCAATTTACTGACTATATCTCTGGATGTAGGTTTCCAAATGAGATAAAAAGCAGCATTGGGTTGAGAAATAATCATTCTGTAAGCGTATAGGTGATTTTTAAACAAAATAGAAGCTACTATTTGAAATAGATTTTTTTTCTCTAAATGTATAATTTTCTTTTATACACATTGTTTAAACATTGTTTAAACATTGCAGAAAATCAGTACATGCACAGAACGACTTATCATAAACAGACCAAATAAATGTCATGACTATGATGAAAGGGGTTTGAAATTATGGCTAATTTATTATCTATATGCACGAATGGTATTTCTGTTTTGTGTACATATGGGGAAATGAAGTTTTCGCCGGAATTTTTTGCCGAATTTTATGTTTTTGGTATCAAAAGAAGCGCTAGACCGTCCCGTCGCTTAATGTTTTTTTTCCAACGCTCTCGCGGAAAAAAGTTAAGGGAGGGACGGATTCTGCCCCGGCCACTTTAGGGCTAATTAATTTGAAGTATGAGCCATATATACGAAGCCGATTCCCCGGAAAATTTCCACCTCAAACTCTAGCTTGGCCACCGGCCCAGTGTTGGATGATGCTTCGCCGGGTGGCAAGTCACCATAAACCGCTCTAAGGATATGATGAAGGGGATGTGTTACTGTATGTGGCTGTGGTACACTGACGCACCAATTAGGCACGAAATCTGAGTATACGTCGTACACGAATCGACAAACAAGTTGATCATTCATACTACCCTCGACAGATGCTGAAGAAGTTGTTGATAATTAACGACATGAAAAACATGAGCCCGTTGATGGAGTTGGTGGTGGACTGGTGCAGGATATTAACAACTGAGCTGGTTAATGTGCAATGAAACATAAACGGGAAACTCGTCTAATTTCGTAAAAGCTCCGATAATTACAAACAGGCACATTCAGAAACTGATGGCGTTTCTGCAACTTATATTACCGTTTCAACCAATGAGAATCGATAATGTATACGTATCTACGGTGGCGACGAGAACACACAAAATACGTTTTTATTATCCGATTCACTTGTTGTTTTGGCATTGCTCAGTTAGTTTATTGCCTCATTGACCTTGTTATTCTGGGGGTAAGTGACCATGTAAAACGTGCATTGATAATCGCATATACATGTGCATATTAATCCATAGAATGCATTAAACAATACACCAATAACCCTGTCTTAATACCAGTAGGGGCACCGGGGGATGGTTTTTACTCCAAGTTTCCCCTTCAAGAAAATGAAACAAAAGAGAAAAACTGAAGAAAAATAAAAGATAAAAGAAACGAAGCAAAATGAAAGGAAGTAACTGGAAGTAAATATTTTACTGTACATTGAATGTATATTTCAGACTGGAAAGTGGGAACCCTTGGAAATGGTCATACATACGTATAAAATTGGTTTGGAACAGTGCCTCCGATCGTGATGCCCGAGGCGGCCCTTCCCCCACCAAACATTTGGATTATCCCCCTCCCCAGAAATTGTTTTTTTTCCCCTCACTTGCTAGCCCCCCCCCCCCCCCGCGCCAGCCACTATTTGCTATGCGCTTGCATGTTTGAACTTTCTATAAGTACGTTCACTATTTTAAAGAGAATGTACAACATTGCTTTTGCTGCAATTTTCAGAAATATAGATTTGAAGGATGAGTATGTTATATAAAATATTGTTAAACTGACTTGTTTCATGTTTTAGGCTTGTAGATGCTGGAAAAACCAAGAAAACCTATCATGTTCTAGAAGTCTGGTTCCCTGACTTCACTTAAGATGAAACGAAGCAATTAATACATTTGGGGAATTGTAAGGTCAGAGAATCAGTCCATAGCAGGCTTGTACCCCTTCACAGGTGTGTGATCATTAGCAAAGAAAAGTCAGAATAACTAAATATGAAAAATTAAGAACAGTTTTCTCCAACGCTGATCGGCCGACCAGCGTTGAAAAAATACAGTTTTTCTTGAAAATGTCAGTCCACCAGGAGCCACGATTTTAAAGGATGCTTTAGACTGTCAGTCCCTAACAATTCAGTAAGGTAATTCGTGATAATTTGATCATTTCTTTTTTTGATGTTTGCAAATGTTGTATTTTCCCTTTAATATACAAATGAAGAGAACCAGCTCCCACGTCAATTAAGATGGAAGGAAGGAGGAACGGTTCTCTAACTAAAGCGGCAAGTGTTAAAACAAAATATACAATTATAATGATGTGACGACTATGATTTCCTAACTACAATACATTTATTCTTACATTAAAACACTTCAAGCATTCAAGTCCGTGTGCACAATTAAATGTCAAATAAATACAAAGTGTGTGTCAAAGTTCAACACATGTCTGTATATGTATATACGCTACACATCAAAGTACAAACCTAAAATGCAATGAATCATGTCTCAACTGTCATCCCGAAAATACACAATTTCCCTCACAAAATGATGATAAAACAAAGCAATACTCACAGGGAATCTTCTATGAAATTATCCTACCACAGTGATATACGAGCCATGCTCCCTACAAAAACGAGAGAATTTTCCAGACAAAACATATGTTGGTCTTCTCTGTTCGAAACCCGCAGGAGAAAACTTGTTACAAGTTGCCTTTGCGCGGGAAGCACAAAGGTCACACTATGAAAATCACCTTGCCAAACTTTGGACGAACAACAACTGAGGGCGCACTTGGTCTCCCTACAGCTTCCCTACTTTAAGACCACGCAACCCGAGTGGTCCCAAATAACAGAAATACAAGGGCGACCGGAAAATGATTATATAAAATTCCCATTAATTAAGTTATCTACAATAATAACACCTTTTACATATTTCAATGCAGTACATTAAATTAAAACAGGTTCAGTGTAATAATACTGCATGAAATTTATAGACATGTCGCAACCCTTTAAAGATAAAGGAAAATACCATGTACATATACGTACTGAAAGCGCACTGACTAGACATTAAACCATCAGAAATGCCTTTAAATAGAAACTGACATACAGTATACATGTACATGGATACGGTTTTCCATAAAAACCTTTTCCAAATCAGCTCAAAATCATGTTAATGATCACATTCCAATACAAAACCTGTTTGAAAATGTCCACATGCTAAAATCTCTATACAAGCACAATAGTCGACTAACCAATCTTGGTGCCAAAATAGATTTCTTTTAATACATTGAGGTCAACCAGGGTTTAAACACAACAATACATGGTGGGTATCACTTGTCTGTAGTTAATACGGAGCATCCTCTACCATACACTTTACATGTACAATAAAAATGTGGTTTCTGATCATGTCCAAAAATCTGAACATGGTTTCTTACACACAAGACTTGGTGTAAAATCAACATAGTTACATAAAAACAGTCATGGAATCCAAATCACATTAACATGGATCTTATTACAGATAGAGTTTGAGCTACATGTATATTCGAACAATTGGATCCAACTTGGAAGGCAAAACAGGAGGTTCATACTGAAGGTTAAGATATGGAGAACACAAAACAAGTGGGTGGCAATACACTCTCTTGCTTGGAAAGCAAGAAGGCAAAATATATTCTCAATCACTAAAACAATTCAGTGCATCCCAAGTAGACTGCATGGCAGAATAATAAAAAGTCTCACACACACTGGAGGACAAAAAGTTGGACAACTCAACCAACTACAACATCCTTAACCCACATCAGGCTAGGAAACATAGTAATTACATCCACACAAGTACAGCTAAACTTGAAGGAGCAACACCCGTCACTAATAGTACTAAGGGCAACAATCGGAAAAGGGAATTTCCAATGGTCGTCAATCTGACTAGATTTGTCCAGTCAGTATTATTGACTTGGGAAAAATAGTTATGCCAATAACTGAATTTGGAGTCGAACCCAACAACTTTTTCTAGTCATAGTATGAAACTTTGCATTATTAATTAAATTCCTAGTCAATTTTCAATAACTAGGAAAACCAGTCAATATTTTGACTAAGTTGTTTTTAGAGTGTATAAAATCAATGAAAGAGAAATATATGAAAATCCCACCAAATGTCTTCGTCAACCAACCTGGATAAGTCAGGAAAACCTGAATAAATGAATCTGCCTAATCATGAAAATATAAAGATCCAAAAGTCACTATACAATGCACATACATGCCCTACATTATACAAAATTATGAAAGGCATGTTATAGTTGTACAACAATTTGTACAACAGGCAATCTCATCAAATAAATATGAATGATTACAAGTTTCCAACAATTGAAAAAATACACCACAAAACTTTATACATAAGCAATGGGAACGAGTCAAAATACAGTGCGGATTACATCCCGTCTCTTCATCAAGAGCAAAACACCAATATTGTTACCATGGAGGGGCAGCTGGAGCTGACACCAGCAACACATTTCCAACTACAAAGCATTATCTTTGGCATGGATAAATACAAGTACATGTGCATTAAGTAATGGTGTTTGGCCACAGACCCCGAATGTGAGATACTGTGATCCAGTCAACAGTCACCACTATTGCCAACATACAGAAATAAAATGCAATACCCGAATACAAGGAACAGTTCCCTACTTTTTCTTGGGCTTTGCCATCTGGCGAACCAAGTGAGTGGGACTTAAAAGTACTCAAGCTAACATGGAGGCTATCACTAAAAACATTCACAGTAGGAGAAACACAAACTACTGCAGCCACCTGCACATTACAAAACTTAGCAGCTTCAAACAGAACTGGCTCAATAACAAGCGGCTCATCAGCCTCTTCAAAAATAGCATCTACCACATCAACTGTATGAGTACAAGTAACGGGGCCGTATCATAAGTCCGACGCCTCATAGGTCCGACGCCTCATAAGTCCGAAATTTCGGACTTATGAGGCGTCGGACTTATGAGGCATAACATTTATTAATTCCGCTTCATAGGTCCGACGCCTCATAAGTCCGACAAATTAAACGTCTCGTTTTTACGTTGCCGGACTAATGAGGCGTCGGACTTATGAGGCGTCGGACCTTTGAGGCGTCGGACTTATGGGCCTTTATTTGGTTAGGGGATGCAATTTTGTCGGACTTATGAGGCGTCGGACCTATGAGGCGTCGGACTTATGAGCAGACCCCCAAGTAACAAGGTCAGATGACTGCAATTCATTAACCCTGTCTCCACTGGGCTTTTTGAACAATTTCAAAATTGCAGTGAATCTACCATTTAATGCAGATTCAATGCTTTTTACTGCATTTCTATCAACAGGACATGGCTCTTCACCACCTTCATGTAAAATATATGTGAGGACACTCACTATGGTCTCAGCTACAGTCTGGCACAGGCATGGTTGGAATGAATATCTTGCAATATACACACAAAATATAACTTGTTAAAACACAATCAGGCCTAAATCATGGACCTACAATCCAGTCTGCACACAAACAGACAATAACTGTTCTCTACGAAAGCCCTGTAGTGCCATCAAGTATCTATTTGGCCAAGTTCGTTTTTATGAGTTATATATTTCGCACGGTTCGTTTTTATGAGTTATATATTTCGCAAGGTTCGTTTTTATGAGTTATATATTTCGCCAAGTTCGTTTTTATGAGTTATATATTTCGCAAAGTTCGTTTTTATGAGTTATATATTTCGCAAGGTTCGTTTTTATGAGTTATATATTTCGCCAAGTTCGTTTTTATGAGTTATATATTTCGCCAAGTTCGTTTTTATGAGTTATATATTTCGCAAAGTTCGTTTTTATGAGTTATATATTTCGCAAGGTTCGTTTTTATGAGTTATATATTTCGCCAAGTTCGTTTTTATGAGTTATATATTTCGCCAAGTTCGTTTTTATGAGTTATATATTTGGCCAAGCTCGTTTTTATGAGTTATATATTTGGCCAAGTTCGTTTTTATGAGTTATATATTTCGCCAAGTTCGTTTTTATGAGTTATATATTTCGCAAGGTTCGTTTTTATGAGTTATATATTTCGCAAGGTTCGTTTTTATGAGTTATATATTTGGCCAAGTTCGTTTTTATGAGTTATATATTTCGCCAAGTTCGTTTTTATGAGTTATATATTTGGCCAAGTTCGTTTTTATGAGTTATATATTTCGCCAAGTTCGTTTTTATGAGATACATTTTGTCCAAGTTCGTTTTTATGAGTTATATTTTACGGAGTTACGGAGTTTTATGAAGTTACGGAGCCCCTAAAGTAACATCCAAAATTATTTTTTTACCTCGTGCGCACGACATAGTATCTCGTGCGCACGAGATAATTATCACGTGCACACATATATCTCGTGCGCACGACATATGTCTCGTGCGCACGACATATATCTCGTGGGCACGAGATAATAATAAGTATTAACGGAGCTTGCTGCACGTGCAGCGGACGAGTTTGTGTGTAACGAAAGCAGCGTGTCAGTTACGGAGCCCCTAAAGCCCCTGTCACACTTTTGCGTATCCCAATTTCTTATGAGTTCCATATCAACAATTTTCAATACGCAGCCGTATGATCAAAAATTTCGAAATGTTTTGATTACTTTGACATATGTGCGACGCACATCTAGCGAACAAGTAACGAATTCAGCGTATCCACTGCGTATGAGATGCGTATAAGTTGCGTATGCAGTGCGCAAGTTCGCCATCTGTGCGTTTCTCATAAGTTACGAAGAAGTACAAAGCGCTCCCCGCTCGCAAGACGAGCGGTACTAATTCGTGCAATACGTCGCTATGTATACGTCCAATATAGGAGGTCAGCGTATTGCCGCGTATGAACGGCTTATCCCTCACGAACACATAGCGTACTCGTACCGCGCTCAACCGATGCGGAACCGATGCGCTGCGTATTTATAACTTATGACCTGCGCAACAGCGTACGCAGCGTAGTTTTGTGCATGCCCAAAACTATCCAGCGTACTGGGCCATACCATGCGTATGCCGGCGTACATAAAACTAACATAAAACGATAGAGATGCATATGAGGTGCGTATTGTGCGTACGACTGCGTATGAAAAAAAGTCAATGCGCAACTCATAAGGAATTAGGATACGCAGAAGTGTGACAGGGCCCTAAAGGGACATCCAAAATTATTTTTTTACCTCGTGCGCACGACATAATTATCTCGTGTGCACGACATATATCTCGTGCGCACGACATAATTATCTCATGCGCACGAGAAATATGTCGTGCTCACGAGATAATTATGTCGTGCGCACGAGATATTATGTCGTGCGCACGAGATATTATGTCGTGCGCACGAGGTAAAAAAAATTTTTTGATGTCCCTTTAGGGGCTCCGTAACTGACACGCTGCTTTCGTTACACACAAACTCGTCCGCTGCACGTGCAGCAAGCTCCGTTAATACTTATTATTATCTCGTGCGCACGAGATATATGTCGTGGGCACGAGACATATGTCGTGCGCGCGCACGAGATATATGTGTGCACGTGATAATTATCTCGTGCGCACGAGATACTATGTCGTGCGCACGAAATAAAAAAATAATTTTGGATGTCACTCTAGGGGCTCCGTAACTTCATAAAACTCCGTAACTCCGTAAAATATAACTCATAAAAACGAACTTGGACAAAATGTATCTCATAAAAACGAACTTTGGGAAATATATAACTCATAAAAACGAACTTGGACAAAATGTATCTCATAAAAACGAACTTTGGGAAATATATAACTCATAAAAACGAACTTGGACAAAATGTATCTCATAAAAACGAACTTGGCGAAATATATAACTCATAAAAACGAACTTGGCGAAATATATAACTCATAAAAACGAACTTGGCGAAATATATAACTCATAAAAACGAACTTTGACAAAATGTATCTCATAAAAACGAACTTGGCGAAATATATAACTCATAAAAACGAACTTGGCGAAATATATAACTCATAAAAACGAACTTGGCCAAATATATAACTCATAAAAACGAACTTCGCGAAATATATAACTCATAAAAACGAACTTGGCGAAATATATAACTCATAAAAACGAACTTGGCGAAATATATAACTCATAAAAACGAACTTTGACAAAATGTATCTCATAAAAACGAACTTGGCGAAATATATAACTCATAAAAACGAACTTGGCGAAATATATAACTCATAAAAACGAACTTGGCCAAATATATAACTCATAAAAACGAACCTTGCGAAATATATAACTCATAAAAACGAACTTCGCGAAATATATAACTCATAAAAACGAACTTGGCGAAATATATAACTCATAAAAACGAACTTGGACAAAATATATACTTGATGGCACTACAGGGCTTTCGTAGTTCTCTCTATATCTGTGGCGTCACGAAAAGTGTAGTACGTTGCGCAATCGAGTGGTGTGCATGTAATACAATAAGATATCGGTCAAATGAAAACATCTTGCCCGCTACAATGACTGAACTGCTAAGTTTGGGTTCATTCTCGGGGCAGCAGCTGGCATTGGAATTGCATTCCTGTCCTCCACTCGGTTTCTACGACACCTCCTGATGACCAGGCTCCTCAACTCCGACCGAAAATGCTCGTACTTGAAGCAGTAAATGATCGGGTTGACGAACGTGTTGCAAGCCACCAGGATATTAGTAATGGCATAAAACCAGCCATCATTTTTTCCCATGATGAACGAACAAGTGCGAAACACTACCTTTGGTGTCCAGCACACCACAAACATCAGACCTATCAGGACTGTCGTAACAAGAACGCTCTTCTTTGCTTTGTTCATGGCATTTCGAGGACCGTACATGGGATTAGCAGATTTCTTGGTTAGCTTGATGATTATCCGACTGTATGTATATATCAAAATAGTAATGGGCACTAAGTACTCAATAAACGCCACAACTACATTTTCAAAAATCTTCAGACCAGTCTCCAGTGTCGTACGTTGACAACCATCCTGACCTGCTTCATACATAAATATATAATGCGAACCATATATGAAGCCAATGGCCCAGGCAGTTCCTATTGCAAATTTCAGCTTAGCGACAGACCAAGAATTGCGATGCTTCACCGGATAGCAGGTCGCCATAAATCGCTCCAGCGATATCACGACGAGGTTGTAGGTGGACGTTACATTTATGCACCAAAGGGAAACATGTGTGTGTATGAGCCGACACAATAACTGACCAATGATAGTATCCTTCATGGACACAGGTGTCAGGATGTTTTTCAAAAGTACCTGATGAGAGAAAAACACAACGCCAGCAACACAATCGATGATAGACTGATGCAGGATGAGGCGATTTGTGAAGGAGCTGAACACTCGTCGCCTGAGGAGCATAACGGTGATGACCATGCCGTTACCAAGCACAGCCAGGCAGGTGATGATTGTGTTGACTGCATCCAGCAGACGGCCATGGGCACTTTCGATCTCAATATCGTGGGTCCCATTTTCGACAATCATATCTACTTTCTTCTTAGATAGAAATGCCTAAAGCAAGTACACAGTTCTAAGCCCGTGTCGAAAATTGCTCTTGTATGTATCGGCAGAGCATCATTTGCAACATGTCCATGTTTAATATAATTCAAACTGCACAGTCTCGAAATGAATGCCTAGTACGAACGCATGTAGTTGATGATTAGCTTAAATATTCATTAAGGATAAAAGGTTACCATGGTAACATTGGAAATAATTCAATTTTGTCACTAGACCAATGAAGAAATGGGTCCCAGCTTTTAAAGTAATTATATCTTTTTGTTCGAGGGCGGGGGGGGGGGGGGGGTTGACAGCCGCTGCGCCAGGTTGATGCTTGAGCTTTATGAAAGCAAATGAAAGCTTTGACATTTGAAAGGTACTGTAGACACTTTATGTTAGTTTCAAGCTTTAATATTTAATCAATTCACATGCGCAATGTATACAAATGCATTGAACACTAGGCTATGTGCCCTGAGGCTGTACAATGTTACATTCATTTTGTTGACTTTTTTTGTAAAGCCCGATTCACGAGTTGTAATTTCTAGAATCCATTAGAGGTCGTCATGAACTTCTGAAATAGCTCAGCTGATATAAACAAGCCGGCGAAACAGTACAATTTTACACTATGATTTTACATTACGAATTACTAGAGGGCTTTCGGAATATTGGTTGCACACTGTAACATTGTCTGGGTTCAATTTTAATCCAAATTTTGGTTTAAAGCAATCACGAATAACCCAATTTTGGTTAAATCTCCAAATTATTTTCGGTTGAAATTCTTGGTTAAAACCGACTGAGGTAAAATTCTGAGTAAACTATTTGGGTTATATTTTTGGTTAGAGTGACTTGGAATATCCAAGCAAGACCACCGCGTGGCGAGATTCGGCAAGTCAAAATTCTTGAGACGGAAAATGTGGCCGGATAAAGGAAGGTGAGAGCGTTCATTTCCTGCCCGATTAGACTTTGCCGCAGTCCATAGTACACTGGCACCTGATTATGAAAACGACCGATTATTACATGTAAATCCCCGTTACTGAGTTGTCTGAATGTCGGAAATACATGCATTTCTCTTGCATACCGTTATATTTGCAGGTTTTTTAAGGTCCAGTTTTACACCTGATACAAAGACTTGCTTTACAATGTTAAACGTTTCCCCAATAACTGCTTGTTTTCCATTTCCTGTCTTTCAGAAAGAGCTTACAAGGGGTTACAGTCTAAGAGATTAGGCTTACCCTGCAGTGCTAACCCAGTCAGGGTTTTCCAGGCCCTGATCGAGGCCTATCCCTAGAGTTTTTCAAGCAAGCTAATCGAGAGACACTAAAGACATAATTTTCAGGAAACAGGCAGATTTTTTATTTCCCCGAGTCATCTTTATTTACCTGCGGTAGCGAACAAAACCATCGCTCTATCTCTCCAACAGTCACTGGAACCCCCAGTCCTAGCTTGCCCTTTGACCTTTGCCATTCTTCAACAGGAAAGTTTGAGTTAAATTGACTCCAAGTTCTAAGTAAATACACCCCGGCCAAGCGTATCTTTATAGCCCATGCAAGCCGGGGCCGTATCATAAGTCCGACGCCTCATAAGTCCGACAATTGACAAACGCTGTTTCGGACTTATGAGGCGTCGGAACTATGAGGCGTTGGACTTATGGGCCGTCGGACCTATGAGGCGGATGCCTCATAAGTCCGACGCCTCATAAGTCCATCGCCTCATAAGACCGAAATTTCGGACCTATTTGGCGTCGGACTTATGAGCCCCCCACGCCTAGGGTTAAATTGACACAAAGCTGTAAGTAAATACAACCCAAGCGTATAGCTTCATATCCCATGCTTAGGTTAAACTTAATTCCAATTTCCAAGTAAATACAACCAGAAACTGTAAACATATTAAACCAATGATTCGGCTAACCCATTTCATAAGTCGGTTTAAGTAAATTTGGTCATGTATTGATCCAAGTTTGGTTAAATGTTACCATAAATTTTGTTCCCCTGCCTGGATACGTGGTGGGTATCACTTGTCTGTAGTTAATACGGAGCATCCTTTACCATACACTTTACATGTACAATAAAAATGTGGTTTCTGATCATGTCCAAAACTCTGAACATGGTTTCTTACACACAAGACTTGGTGTAAAATCAACATAGTTACATAAAAACAGTCATGGAATCCAAATCACATTAACATGGATCTTATTAAAGATAGAGTTTGAGCTACATGTAAATTCGAACAATTGGATCCAACTTGGAAGGCAAAACAGGAGGTTCATACTGAAGGTTGAGATATGGAGAACACAAAACATGTGGGTGGCAATACATTCTCTTGCTTGGAAAGCAAGAAGGCAAAATATATTCTCAATCACTAAAACAATTCAGTGCATCCCAAGATAGACTGCATGGCAGAATAATTAAAAGTCTCACCCACACTGGAGGACAAAAAGTTGGACAACTCAACCAACTACAACATCCTTAACCCACATCAAGCTAGGAAACATAATAATTACATCCACACAAGTACAGCTAAACTTGAAGGAGCAACACCCGTCACTAATAGTACTAAGGGCAACAATCGGAAAATGGAATTTCCCATGTTCATATACACACATTTCCTGAAAATGGTCCTATAAAAGCGGCAGACTGCACGGTGAAAGTGCCAGACAACAAAATCTCACTCAAAAGGCTATATACAAATATCCTATAAATCCGTAAGTACAAATAGTTGGAAAACACCAAACTACAAAATTGCTGACAAAATATTCCACTCAGCAGCTACACTAAAATTAGGAACCTACATTCCCGTCACTAAACGTTCTTAGGGAACAAATTGGAAATGCACGAAAAGACACACACATTCCTATCCAATATAAAATCAATGACAGAGAAATATATTAAAATCCCACCAAATGTCTTCGTCAACCAACACGGATAAATCAGGAAAACCTGAATAAATGAATCTGCCTAATCATGAAAATATAAAGATCCAAAAGTCACTATACAATGCACATACATGCTCTACATTATACAAAATTATGAAAGGCATGTAATAGTTGTACAACAATTTGTACAGCAGACAATCTCATCCAAAAATATGAATGATTACAAGTTTCCAACAATTGAAAAAATACACCACAAAACTTTATACATAAGAAATGGGAACGAGTCAAAATACAGTGCGGATTACATCCCGTCTCTTCATCAAGAGCAAAGCACCAATATTGTTACCATGGAGGGGCAGCTTGACCTGACACCAGCAACACATTTCCAACTACAAAGCATTATGTTTGGCATGGATAAATACAAGTACATGTGCATTAAGTAATGGGGTTTGGCCACAGACCCCGAATGTGAGATACTGTGATCCAGTCAACAGTCACCACTATTGCCAAAATACAGAAATAAAATGCAATACCCGAATACAAGGAAGAGTTCCCTACTTTTTCTTGGGCTTTATCATCTGGCGAACCAAGTGAGTGGGACTTAAAAGTACTCAAGCTAACATGGAGGCTATCACTAAAAACATTCACAGTAGGGGAAACACAAACAACTGCAGCCACCTGCACATTACTAAACTTTGCAGCTTCAAACAGAACTGGCTCAATAACAAGCGGCTCATCAGCCTCTTCAAAAATAGCATCTACCACATCAACTGTATGAGTACAAGTAACGGGGCCGTATCATAAGTCCGACGCCTCATAGGTCCGACGTCTCATAAATCCAAAATTTCGGACTTATGAGGCGTCGGACTTATGAGGCATAACATTTATTAATTCCGCTTCACAGGTCCGACGCCTCATAAGTCCGACGCCTCATAAGTAGGACAAATTAAACGTCTCGTTTTTACGTTGTCGGACTAATGAGGCGTCGGACTTATGAGGCGTCGGACCTATGAGGCGTCGGACTTATGAGGCGTCGGACCTTTGAGGCGTCGGACTTATGGGCCTTTATTTGGTTAGGGGATGCGATTTTGTCGGACTTATGAGGCGTCGGACCTATGAGGCGTCGAACTTATGAGCGGACCCCCAAGTAACAAGGTCAGATGACTGCAATTCATTAACCCCGTCTCCACTGGGCTTTTTGAACAATTTCAAAATTGCAGTGAATCTACCATTTGATGCAGATTCAATGCTTTTTACTGCATTTCTATCAACAGGACATGGCTCTTCACCACCTTCATGTAAAATATATGTGAAGACACTCACTATGGTCTCAGATACAGTCTGGCACAGGCATGGTTGGAATGAATATCTTGCAATATACACACAAAATATGACTTGTTAAAATACAATCAGGCCTAAATCATGGACCTACAATCCAGTCTGCACACAAACAGGCAATACAATACAAAGTCAAAAATATGATGTGTAAACACAATGTAGACACAAGTACAATTGCAATTCAAAAATCTCCAACTGACACACAGTCTTACAAAGACTTAAAAGTCACACAATTATGTGCCAAGACAATTTAGAAACACATGAAGTCACTACTTTACACCCTTCACACTAGTGTAAACTATTTTTTGTTTTTAAATGCAGGGCAATTCCACACCAAAGTGGACATGACACCAAAAAATTCAAATACATGTGACTTAAACAAATTTGGCATCAAACGAAAGCTAAAAGTCTATATTTTCAAGATTTGAAGTCGGAATTTTATTTTTTATACATTTCGGTACCAAAAACTAGGATTATGTAATAATCCTGTTTTAATCCTAAAAATGTGATTAATAGTGATATGAAAGTATTCTACCAATAGACACACAAAAATATGTACTAATGCCATCAGTTTCTGTCATGAGAAAGTATTGGTCTTGAAAAACCGACTAAAACTTGTTTTTAACATTTTGCGTAATTTGTTTCGCTTCAGTGACTTCTAATATTTCAGCCTTCGAAAATGTCCTTCCGTTACCGAAAAAATACATATTTTTAATTTATTTTTAAAACTTGCAGTATGAATGCATTGAAAGTTATTGTGCAAAGCAAGTTTAGGTAG